AGTCTATTTTGGTCTAGACATGGAGAGAGCCTATGATGTCTGAGTGGGGTGCAGATGTGTTCGTATGTGCAAGATCAGTGCGAGTGAGGGATTGATGCCAGTAGTTAATACATAGGATCTAACATCGCGATCAAAAGCCGTGAACACGATTTTAAGAGAAGCTAAACCCCTCCTTAGTTTAATTATTTGGAATCCAGAGGAGTCGAAAGACAATGATCCTGCTAAAAGACACTCACACGATCTGCAGTTAGTGAAATCTGTGATAAGAAATGTACTACCTGAAGAGGTTTTAGGGGTACATATCACGAAAGCACTACGACTCGGTAAATGGGTTGGAGGCGAGACCCAACCAAGAAGGATCTTGAAGCTGGTTTTCAGGAATTTTGAAGAACGAGATATATTATTGAAAAACGCACAAAAAACTCATGACTCAAATATTCGTATCCGACCACATTGGCCGCTTGAGGATTGAATCAAGTAAAAGAATGTCCTTGCAGAGTTGAGAACTCGCAACTTAAATGACGAAACTAACCGTACTATTAAGGGTTTTAGAGTAGTCAGGTCTTTGAAGTCGGTGCTTCCGAGGCCTGTATGGGTAGAACGAATGATTCCCAAAACAACTCAAGTGTGTGCTACACGAACGCTCGTAGTCTTAGAAATAAAACGTCCGAGCTAAGTTTGATGGTGGATGAATCGGGTCCCGATATAATTGTTGCTACAGAAACTTGGTTCAACATAGACATAGAATGTTCTCCCATCATTACAGGCTATATCTGTATTAGAAGTGATATAGTTTTGAGTCGCAAGGGGGGAGGCATAACGTTACTCGTTAGGGATCACTTTCGTATACAATCAGTCATATCGGAGGCTCATGTTAGTGGTACATGTGAGGCAGAATGTTTTAAGATTAAATCTAGAAATGAGTTAGTGACTATAGGGGGAATATACCGTAGTCCGTCTTGTCTTGCTGACGACTTTATCCTAAGACACATCTGTTCTTGGAGTATGGCAGAATGTTGTCTCATCATTGGGGACTTCAACGCACTGCATGTCAACTGGATAGAGCTTACAGCTCCAGGTAGAGGTTTCGATAGCGGCCTTTTATCGACCGTTATCCAGTGTGCACTTGTACAATGTATCACAAAACCGACACATATTGATTTGCGATATGATCCGTCACTGCTGGACCTCGCCCTCACCCACCACTGTGAGTATGTCTTTGATATTCAGCACCCCCACTAGTGAACAGTGATCACGTTGTACTTCACTTTAAGTTTGGGACACATGGTATACGATTTGTATCTGCTCCACCCCGTCCCAATGTCTGTCGAGCTAATATTCCGGCAATCAGAAACTGTGCTATCTCGACCGATTGGTCGATCGACGAGGATGGATCGATCGAAGATGAATGGAATTAGTTTAAGGCTACATTCGAGTCCGTAACGTCGCCGTTTATTGTAGCAAATACTTGTCCCACTCACACCGAGATATATAGCCATTGAATCTGTACAGGTGATAGAGGAAACTATCCCTCCGTTGATAAATAACCTCAAACATTGTAAGATACCGGGCCCTGATGGGTTACATCCATGGCTGCTGTCATTTCTTGTGGACATTATTTCAAAACCGCTCGTGACACTCTTACACATGTCCCTTTCACTCGCTTAACTCCCCAGAGATTGGAAAGACGCTATAGTCAGTCAGGATGGTCAGAGACAGATCGTATCTAACTACCGGCCTGTTAGTCTAACTAGCATTGTCGTTAAGTTGCTTGAAAAGATGATTCGGGTTAAGTTGCTAAGACACATAGATTTACACAATCTGTTAGCTCCTGAGAAATATGGATTTCGTAACAAGCGTTCATGCTTAACTAACTCACTTATGCGAGAGAGGATTGGACAGCAGCCTCAGATAAAGGTCTGTCTGTCGATGTGATATTCGTAGATTTTGGCAAAGCATTTGACAAGGTTTCACACGTAGGTCTTATGCAGAAGCTCACGAGAGTCGGAATAATAGATGCTGTGCAGGAGTGGATAGGAAACTTCTTATGTGACCGCAGACAGAGAGTGAGGGTCAATAGAAAGCCATCCGATTGGAAGCCGGTCAAAGTACCCCAAGACACCATCTTAGACCCTCTGCTCTTCCCTCTTTACGTTAATGAGTTACCGCTGTCGCTTAGGTCGTCAACATCATTGTTCGCGGATGGCGTAAAAATCTGGAGAACAATAAAAAGTGGAGCTGATAATCTGGATCTTCAAACTGACTTAGACGATTTAGTTAGATGGGCTCGAGTGGGGCTTAGAAATCAATCCTAGGAAGAGTGTACTAATGCACATCGGTCACGGTAATAGTTACCATTACACTATTGATGGTAAACCTCTTCCACGCGTTCAAGAGCATAAAGACTTATGATTTATAATAAGTCATGACTTAAAAACAACAAGGCATTGCAAAGCAGCCGCTGTCTAAGGTTTTCGTGAGTTATGGTGACTTCGCCGAGCGTTCAAATCCTTTGACGAGGAAGCGTTTCGAACTTTATGTCCCATATATGTAAGACCACATTTAGTGTACTGTATCCAAGCAGCTAGCCCGTGTCTAGTAAAGGATACTAACTCACTTGAGCGTGTCCAGCGTGTGGCAACGAAATTAGTGAAGGGTCTTTCTAAACTCCCTTACGATGAGTGTTTAAAATGCCTAAACATTTCCCACCCGTCGTATCGTAGGACGCGATGTGATATTTTACTAGCATTTCGTATCTTTATGATTTGGGTGTTAATATGTCTCATCTTTTTGCTCCCGCCAGTACTAATAACCTCCGAGGTCATAGCAAGAAGGCTCACAAACCGCTATCTAATAAACTTAAAGTGGGGTCTTGTTTTTCTCATCGAGTAGTCAATGACTGGAACGCCTTACCCGATCAAGGGGTATCAGCCCCATCAGTGAATATTTTCAAGGAGAAGCTGGACCTTTACTGGAAGGTAATCTGTCAGGATTAACACAGGTTCACCAACCTAACATCCTTATTACTGAAGACTGAATATAATGTGGGGTGTCTAAGATGAGTTTTAGCTATGAAGCCTTTATTTTTCTCTGAAATGCAGATAATATATCATTTCACTCGATCTCGTATCAAGAAACATTTTTAAATGGCTGTCATTATAAATTGCCGGATGCATATAAAGTAATTATCCTTTATATTTCAGGAGGTTAATGACCCCCGCGAAATGCGGTTTCTCGAAGAACACTTAGAAGGTAAGGGTTAAAGAGAACGTGAGTGTGGCAAATTGATTCAATTCGTAAGACTTCATACTGATCACAGTTCGTCTAAATGAGTCAGCTGAAAGTTGAAATTGAATCGCCCGGGCAGTACAGAAATAACGATGTAGTGACGTCAATGAATTTTTTTGCCTCTATTGGCCCGTATTCTCTTGAATTCTAAAGGTTCCCCAAGTTTGAAAGTGATAAAAAACCTCAGATTTGCAAATTTATAAAAATTATCTTAAATCAAGATATAGGGCACAAAATTCTGAATATCAACGTAACAAATGTTGTTAACTGTATCAGAAAACAGTCAACCGTAAATCATAAGGTGTCTGTAAACACTCGGTAATTAAATATACGGACTAAACGACAAGGAAAAGTCCGTTCCGTTTACAACATAAACAGACTTGATTTACTGGACGCGAATATTATTTGCTGGAATGCCCAAGTATTTGGCACGCATAGACACACAATAGGTATTATTATCAATTTTGCCGCATGTCTAGTAAGATTGAACAAAAACGTAAAAAAATGGTATTTCTGTTCAAGAAATACCTAGCGGCAATGAGAGTGTGATATTTTTTAGATATGGTAAATAAAAACGCTAATTTTTTATGGTGTGTTCGAAGCCAGATAAAGTAAATGTAGGCAAATCTGATCTTTCATTATCAAACTGGCCTGTAGTGATTGAACTATTTAAACAAGAAGGGCATGTTGTGATTATTGGTGTAACATTTACGATTGTACAGACTAGAAATTTGAGTATTTCTCTGCTAGCTAGGCATTTAATGAAGTGATCCAGTTAAGGTTACACTGTAAACGGTTTTGACAGCAAACAAAATAGCCAGGCGGGATGAAGAGGCGATGTGAGGGACCATGAAGACCAGTCGAATAATTACGGAACTGAGGAGATACAAATTGGAAGTGCTTGAAATGAGTGAAAACTATTGGAACCAAGATAGATAGAATAGAGTAGATTCGGCAGAAATACTGTTGTACTTTGATCATGAAAAAGAAGGTGCTTCACCCACACAGGGAGTTGCACTGATGATAAGAACTGGGAGAAAGGAACGAGAATGGCGAGAGATTTTCAGATTTATGTGCCTTCAATAAAATGACTACAAATGACCCCATATTCCCCCACAAGCACATACACAAATTTTCATGTGTCTCACTGGATCACAATACAGAGAACCAGATCAAAAATATTTGAACCACTACAAAATTCAGAAGATCTATGTAAGACGTGAGATCCAAGAGAGAAATCGACAAGTAGAAATGCGTGGAAGACCTAGCAATGATAGAGGAATAAGCTGAAGGAGAAGGAAATCTGAGACAAATATATAATACAACGAAGAAACTGGTAAGGAAGTATGGTAAACCAGAGAAGCCGGTCAAGGACAAAGAAGGCAAACCAATCACCGAGATCCAAGGACAGGGGAACAGGTGGGCAGACCACTTTGAAGAACTCGTGAGTAGACCGGTCGCAATGAATCTATCGGACATCGAAGCAGCATACACTAACCTCCCTGTAGATATTACTCCATCAACGAGCGAAGAAATCACGATAGTCATCAGACAAATAAACAATGAGAAAGCAGCACGACCTGACAACATACCAAACGAAGTATTGAAGTTAAACACAAGGTCGACTGCAAAGATGCTCCACATTCTCTCCAGAAAGAACTGCGAAGAACAAGTACCACAAACAGACTGGGAAGAAGCACACCTCACCAAGATACCAGAGAAAGGAGATCTCAGCAAATGTGAGAACTACACAGGCATCACATTACTATCGGTACTAGCAAACGTTTTCAACAGACTGATGATTAACCAGATGAAATATTCAATGGACGCCAAACATCCAGATCGACAGACCGGGTCCCATGAGGATCGGTCATGCACAGACCACATCGCGGCAATACGGATCATCGTTGAACTCATGAAACAATGAGTCCTCAAGAGAAGGAAGTCTTTGTTCAGTTTCTGGATTTATTGGTCATTTATTAATACTTTCCGAAATGTTTGAACACAATCACATGCATTACAAGCCAGCTATTTATAATTTCCGTGATAAAGTAGTTTTCAAACTGTCGGATAGGATGGTGCTCTGGCTGTACAGAAAAAAAGTGTCTGACAAGTTTATTAACATCAATTCCAGAAGAGTAATATTTTTAGCACTAACGTTCCTCAAAGCCGAATAGATAAATATAAGCTTGATAAGAAAGCACTAATGACAGTAGCCCACCTGCTGACAAAGGAGACCCAATACTTGTAGCCGCCCCAGGGGGACCTGAATGTGGATCTCCACCTAAATTCGCTTTTGTTCTCATCGCTAGAACTTCACGGGCTGAAACGAAGAAAACATGTCCCTCTGCCTCTGTACGTGTGCACACTTTTAATTCATCAACAAGAAACGCTACACAACGTTGCAGGTGTTGCTCACGTACCTAAAAAGATAAATAATTTAAGTAAAAATTATGATAATTTAGAAAGTAATATTCTTGGAAATTATAGTTAGTGTAGAAAAATCGAAATAATGTAAGTGGAATCTACATATGTATATTTTTATTATACTGAGAAAGTGATAGAGTAAAAAGATGGTTCAAACCATATAGATACCCTTACCTAAGTTGGGAATTTAGCTACTGAGTTATGGTCTATGGTTCCAACCACGCTAAGAATACGGCCTTTATCCTTTGATGAAGTTGAAAGATGGTCGCATTATATCGCGAATAGACGAAAGTTGAAAATCTAAACTATTAAACATCAGACTCAGTGACTAGATGGTATGCGCATCGCCAGACCTGGAGGTCATGTTCCAACGCGTATGTAATTCTTAAGAGTCTCGAACAAGGAGAAAACATCTTCTCCACGAATCATGGTTTTCACTGAGCTACTGATTGATGTTGATCCATTACAAAATTTGATTGGTAAAGGGGTGTTTATAAACTTCAATCACGTTACCGTAGGTCTTATAAAAGGAAAATAGTCATTATTATTTGTCTTTCTACCATAGCTCTCTTCTCCCTGAAAAAAAACTTTAGAAGAGTTGGCCTTAATGATCTTGTTGTGACTAAGCTTAATTGAACACTTTTTAGTGGACTCACAATAAGTATTCGAAAGTTTAGAATATAACTAAAACAAGAAAAATGTGCACATACCTCATTAATATATTCAATTTCGTTTGCTGAAGCATCCCAACGATTATTAATGATAAAAATATTTGGTTTGGATAACTTCTGACTGACTTTATGGAAGAAATCTTTCTCCTGAAAAATTTAGTACACAAGAAGAACTTTTATCTGAAGGGAAAAACGAATTCCGGTCACTCTTATTTAAAATATTTGAAACAAATAGTGGAGATTAAAGCTTTTCCACAAAAAATTCAAATAAAATACGATTCATTTAGCAAGGTGCAAGTTCATATACTCCACCTTTAGATACACTTTCGGTGTAAAAGTTAATGACACTAACCGAATGATCGAATTAAATTGGTTAGAACGGAGTTCAGATTTACAAACTAACAGCTGAAAAGTTTAATGTTCTAACTATTAGATTACTATAATCTTTGGCTTTAAATAATTTATTACAATGATTAGCAATACAAAACAAACTGAATTTATAGTGTCCTTTAAAAATAACTCAAAGAAGTAACATTCACAGTGCGTTTTTAATTATCGATAGTGAAACTAATACTAATCTTTATAATAGTCAATTTACAATTAAATAACCTTCAAGTACATATATATCACTATGACCACATCATTTTTGTACATTAAAAGATATACAACCGTATTGATCTTGGTAAAATTACCCCTTTCTTTACATTCTATATCTCTACAACCTCATTGTTATTGTGTGGTGCGTACGTATTTGGTGCCCCTTTTGTACCAATGTGTTCAAATAAATAAGTAAATTACCAATCAAAATAAAATATGTGAAATACTTACAGCTTGCATTAATGTTGACTCAGCATTAGCAACAAGAATGAAAACATCCGCATCCAAACAGTGAAGATCAATCCATCTATCCATATCTGGATCAACATTAATCCCTGGACTATCTAGTAGAACAACATCTTCACGTAACAGCCTACAATATGAACTTGGCCAGAATATTTTTAGTAGTGTATCTGTGGAAAGTTTGACACTGCTTAATGCATGGGCTAACTGACCAACGGAATCAATAGGACGAGCCTGAGTAAAGAAAAATTAACTTGATTAAGAGATTGTGCCAGTACAACTGGGACTATTTTAATTATTGGGTCGACTTAGCAATAGATTTAATTAGTAAGTTATGAATCAGATATTTCGGAAAATTATACGTTCCACAAAAGTAAATGAACACAAATCTTTTTAGGATTATCGTGCTATGCTCCTATTTTTCCAGAATGGTAGAATATAAACGATGAATGCACCTGCGCTACTGTACATGGTTCTGCAATGTCAATTAACGTCTTCGATCACTGATTAGAGTTGCCGCGAAGAACTCAATATGTAGCTTGTACCTGTCAATAGCAGTCAATGATTGTATGGACTGATAACGCCTTGATATGGCCTACCCTAAATTTCTTCCAACCTATTCCTATCTCACTGAAACAGATGAAATAAAGTAAACCTCAAGTTGAAAACTACAAGTTGTAAGATGAATGGCAGAATATAGAATTTTAGTACACCCACAAAATTAAAACAAGTTTTAAGACAAAAAATACTTATATTTCAGACTATCCACTAAAATGTAATCGACTTCCCATTAAAACAACAAAATAAAAGTCATCTTTCAAAAGTGCTAATTAGATTAAAGAGGAAGAATGTAATTGTAAAATCTCGGCGAATGAATTAGGAGTAAAGCCAACGTTTCGCCTGGCAATCTGGTCTAAGCTTTTTCAAGGAAATATAATCAGGCATCGAAATTATCGAATATAAATAGGTACATGGTTCTTTGGTTCACTGTATACTGAATATGTCATCCAATCAATGTTAACAATGTTTAAAGTAGGTATTTGCATTAGTATGTAAGAGACATGTGATGTGAAACGAAGTGTTAAGATAACAGATTGTGTGTATACGTAAGTGGTGTGAGAAGAAATTTCATTTGCTATATATTGTCTCTGGTCAGTGAGTTTTAAGAAAACAGATAATTTTATAAATGATATGAATCAAAAACGTCACAGCATGCATAAAATGAGGATAAATAAACAAGATAAAGGAATGAATCCAAAGAGGAAGAATGTAATTGTAACTGAATGTTTGTGTTATTTTAATGTTCCAGTTAATTGTTTAACATTTGATTTTATTCCAGGTAGTGTATTAATTTCGTATCTGGGAGGCATCATCTGTATACAAGGAGGTCATGATGCAAATGTTATGGCATTTATTAGCAAAGCAGCAATAGCATTCCCATAATTGAAGAACATATTGGACTTGGGAGAACTTTCGGACAATATCGAATTCAGAATCTTCAATACAAACTGTCATCTGACCACAATCTTGAAAGCTGCAGAATACGAATTGAATATGTACGTATTTCAAATAAGCCGTTACTTTTGGATGTGTTGTGATAGCAATGTCTTCGTATCCTTATAATTCAACTAGTGAACTGCGTCAGAAAATGACAGGCCTTCGGCGTCAGCTTAGCCATCCTCACCTGAATAAATTCAAAGAAGCTAAAAAGGAACTAGCTTTTATATATGAAGATATTTTAAGTTATGTGTCTGAAAGTCACAAATTTACTCGAGAACAAAGTGAAGGTAATTTTTGTACCCAACTTTAAAAACTCTTACCTACAGAAGAGAGGTTTGCCAGACTTATTGGACAAGGAGTTCATGCTGAAGTTGAACACCATCTCCAGAAAATCCGTAATATTCAGGAAATTATTGCTCGTAATCAAATGAAGTGTGCTTTTTTCGGGAGGTGAGGTATTCCTTGTGTTATTAGACATTCCATTACGAACTAGAAAGGTTCTAAACATGTCACACTGGCAGGTCGCAGAGACGCTGTAAAGTGACATAAGTTCTGCAAAAACTGTCTTCCATCCGATGAAATTTAATCGAGATTAATAAGTCGACATACGCTTACCACCTTCATCAAACGCTCAGATGTCTAGAATTAGTAATGAAATTTTTTAAAACAAATGAATGTCATCCCAGCTTTTGCTTTGAATAAAGCCGGTACAGATTACTAAACCTTTAAGCAACAAAGTCCCATTTATTAATTTACAGTCATGCCTCATAATCTCGTTTGTAAAGCCCAATGTTTATCTATCAGTCGTGTAAGTTAAATCTCGAAACAGTGGCGATACGCACCAAAAATTCCCTACACATTAAATATTTACATGATGACATTCCGGTTCAGTTTCAGTTTGGGAAGGACAGGAGGCCTGATGGCCTGTGTTAGTCCTGGCAATGGTGGTCCCTCAGTTGATCCAACTTTCTTTTGAAAGAGTCGACGGATGGAGCCTCAACCACGTGCTGAGGTAATGAATTCCACTCGTTGATGATTCGATGGGAAAGTCGATAGTCAGCTGACAAGTAATTTGTTCTCGGCTTGTGAACTTTTTTGGAGTGTCCTCGTAAATTCTCTGTTTTGGAAGACAAGAAAAATGAGGGCATATCAGGTGCAAATTTAGCACTAAGCAATTTGAAAACTGTAATCAAGTCGCCTCTAGTTCTGCGATATGACAACGGGAAAAGGTTCAGCTTGGCCAGTCGAGATTCATACGGAAGCTTCGCTATTCCGGGAATCAGCTTAGTCGCCGTTCTCTGAACCTTTTCCAGAAGCTCACTGTCTTTTTTTAAGCAGGGGCTAGCCGCTTGTATGCAGTACTCAAGTTTAGGACGTACGAACACTGTATACAAAGTCAAAAACGTCTTAGCGTCGACATGACTAAAAGCCCTACGTATTGACCATAACGTTCTAAAACCTTTGGCGGCTATTGCACGGCAGTGTGCAGTAGTCTTTAAGTCTTGGCTAACGATAACTCCTAAGTCATTATATGTCTGGACGACAGGTAGCTCAGTGTTATTCATCGTGTATGTATCTGTACCTTGATGACCGATATGCATCACAACACACTTGGAAGTATTTATCGGCAACTGCCATGTTTGAGACCATTCAGATAATTTCTTCAGGTCATTTTGAAGTTCTAAGCTATCACTCTTACATCGTATCGTTCTCCATATCTTGACATCGTCAGCATATAGCAAGACCGATGATGATAGGAGACAAGGAAGGTCATTTACATACAAGAGGAATAGCACTGGCCCCAAAACTGTACCCTGGGGCACTCCACTAAGCACAGTTTCCCAGCTAGATAACTTTGAGTTCACCCTAACTCTTTGTTGACGCCCAACTAAGAAGTCTTTTATCCACATCAATAATTGCCTCCAATCCCGACATTTCTTAACTTATATAACAGCCGGTTGTGCGGAACTTTGTCAAAAGCTTTACTGAAATCAATGAAGGCGACGTCTACAGGTAGCTTTTGGTCCTTAAGAGCGCACCAGCTTTCACGAGCCACTAATAAGTTAGTGAGACAAGAATAACCTATTCTGAAGCCGTGCTGCTTCTCCGAGAGGATCCGGTTTTTATCGAGATACTTAAACAGCTCCTTCCGAATAATCTTTTCTAAGATTTTAACAACCACACTAGTTAGGCTAACGGGGCGGTAGTTCTCAGGTTTGTGTTTCGTACCTGTTTTGAAGACAGGACTTACTATGGCGTTTTTCCAGTCTTTGGGTAAACGACCCTGCGTAACGGATAGGTTAAAGCATGTACTTAAAGGGTTCGCAACGAAGTTAGATAATTCCTTCAGTAGCCTAGGATGTAATTCATCGGGCCCCGTGGATTTACCTATGTCAAGCTTATTTAGCAGACCAAAGACATCGAGTTCTTTAATGGTCACGCTATCCAGTGTATGTGTGGGGGATCTGTATACGCTGACGGGAAGGGTGCTTCTATGGTGTATACATTGCTAAAGTAGTTTGAGAACGCTTGAGCCTTACCAAAGTCGTCCTCCACTAATGATGCGGCAGTACTGTCTCCCCATAGAGCAGGAATATTTCCTCTTCTCTTTGTCCTTTGGTTTATATAGGAATACAAGCGTTTAGGACATTCTATGGATTCCTTAACAATCTTTTCTTCGTACAATTTTCTAGACTTACGGAGGGTCGAGGCACAGGTATTCCGGACTTTTCGATACTGAGATTTAGTTTCATCAGTCCCCAGTAACCTAAATCTATCCCACATTTTCCTTTTCTTACGGAGAAGGATGCGGACCTCCCTACTGAACCATGGTGGGAGTTTTTCGGCCCCTTGGTATAGTCCAAGGGATGTGGGGTGTGGTAACTTTTAAGTATGAATTTCGAAATGCGTCCCAGGCCGTTTCAATTGAGGACTCTGGGTCTATTGTCCAATCTATTAACGATGCTGAGTGCATGATATCTGGTATATTTGCTTTCCAGACGTTAGGTCTGGATTGGGCTGACGCGTGCTCGTGACTGACAGTTATATGGAAGTCGAAAGTTAAAACTGCGTGATCACTTTTACCTAGGGTGGCATATAATGGAGGTTCGCAACATCATCCTCATAGTGAGTCAGTATAAGATCTAGTAAGGATGATTCAGTGTCCGGGTCGTACCTAGTCGCTTCTTTCACATGTTGCACTAAGCACATGTGATAACCGCATCAACTAGTTCCTGCTCGAAGGAATTTTCTGACGATTCAGTTCGCAGATTTTCCCAGTCTACCATAGGTGCATTAAAGTCCCCTAGGATTAGACATCGACCACTTTGTGACCAAGTATTGAGACTGCTTAACAGGATCTCATTTGCCTCACAGCTTGGACTGCGATAGACCAAACCAATCAGCAGCTCTTGTCCCTTGCATTTAAAGCGAAGACTAACTAATTCACACGTCCCACTCTCATGGGATACACTATCGATAATGGCAAATGGGATAGCATTCCTAATGAATAGAGCTACTCCCCCTCCTTTGCGCTTTTGTGTTCTGTCGGCCCTTACTAACGTAAAACCCTCGAAATCAAGTTCCATACTATCTATAGCCTGTGTCAGCCAGGTTTCTGTTACTGCGATTATATCTGGCTTTGTAGAGTCAATCTGTACACCTAGTTCCGATCGCTTATTAAGTAAGCTCCGGGCATTAGTGTAACAGATCCGAAGCCTATTTAAGTGCCTTCGTGCTTCACCCAGAGTGGCTTCGGCATCATTCTCTGTCGAAGCCTTACAACCCGAAAATTTACAATTTTCAGGTCCTTTTCGCCAGCGTCTAACCTAAGTTGTAGTTCTTTCTCGGCTTCCCGTCTTTTAACACGGTCTGCCAACGGTAGGTCCTTTCGGATAAAGACTCCTGAACCCTTTAATTTGTGTCCATTTTGTAAAATTAGGTCACGTTCGTTCGAAGAGCCGAATACTACTTTAAGCAGTCTGGAATGATTTGGTTTCGAGTCCGTTAGACTCCCTAGTCTGTACACCTTTAGCAAGGTGACCCCGGTCATATTTTGAGGCATGAGTTGATTAAGCAGCTGCCTAATCAGCACAATGTCATGCTCAAAACGAGCTTTAGGTTCAGAGCTATCGCTCTCCTTGATTCTATGAAAAATAGCTGATCTGTCGCTATGATCAGCTTTCGATTTTACGACTACTTTCGCGGGGTAGGATTACCTTTTATATCGCTACTTTTTTTCTTCCTTACAACCTGTACCCCGATTTCAAATGTTCTAGATTGTAAGCAGCTGATGAGAACCTAACAAAGTAAAGTGAATTTATGTTACTCTGCTCAATTCTTTGTTTTTGTTCTCATCGAGTTAGTAGAAGGAACTAATTACGTGAAACTTTCCATGTGTTGTTGGGCTAACAGAACAATTGATGGGGATGATTCAGATTGTTGAAAACAATAAATATTTGTTTGTTGTGTCAATTTTTTACAGTGACTTTCACTAGTCGTTTTCTGAAATTAATCTTTTCAAAAAGGTTTCCATCTTTCCAGAAAAATGTACGCAGAATAACGTGGCTACAGGGACTTGAATATACAGACGTTTTAGGTCCTTTATTATCCGCAACAGACCGGTTGACAACCAGTTTTAACTCGACGATACCGTAAGCCGATCAGGCATTGAGCTCGACGGGCGATGTTGTCTAGTGTAGAGGTAGGCTGGAAGAAAGCTAGGGGTGGCCAAACCAAGACACAGCATCAGTCCATAAAGTCATTGACATTTGGACTGAGCCATGTTAATAGGTGTAGACTACCTGGTTAGGGTTCAGTTCATTTTTTGTGTGTGGGCTGTGATACTGCCCGGGTGCCCAGACCGAAGCAGGTGGTTTTCTTAGGGGGCTACACCCCGAGCCTTTGACCTAAAGGTCTAACCCACAAGGCAATGGAGCATCGTGAGGAGATACAGTTCCATGGTAGCCGGTGACCAAGAAATTGGTTCATACGCCATTTGTTCCCACAGGATACTGGAGCCCATGTGCACCATTGGTTTGGGATCCGGTTAAAGCGCCGGACATTCGCTTTTCGTCCTCTCGTTTTCGTAAACAACACCCCCGCCACGAGAAGGCAGTAAGTAGGACTTCCCTGGCAGAGGCTGTATACGCGTGGCCGTGTGAGAGTATTTCGAGAGGGAGGGCGAGCCCACCCCACTCTCGGCCATACCAGGGCATTTGGGGGTTGGCTAGGGTTCGCATGGTTATCGTAACCACTGGCTAGACACTTGATATACCTTAAAATCGTTTGCAGTGGCGCAGATTCATTCACTCTTTGTCTTCCTCAAATTTCTGAGCTTCGGAATTCCTAATTACTTTCTTTGTGTTTTTGTATCACTTATGTATATTTTCTTGAATCGTATCTTTGATGCATAATCTTTTTTATCACCATACCTCTTGTTATTATTTCTACTATTCTGGAATTCGGCCTGACAATTTCATCTCTCTTTGCTAATGGGGTATGGCAACTTGGATCTATGTACATACGTACTAGGTTTTACATTGTGACTGACTGACTTAGATGCCCATCACTGATTATGGTCAGGCCCAACAATGTCCTTATTCGTGTCGCGGAGTGGGTCACAGTATGATTGATGACCATACACTACTAATAATATTGCCCTTTCTTAAATGGAACTAATCAGTTACAAGGCTATCATTAGTTAGTAGTAGATAAATAATCTTTATGGTCACTGGGCCGATAGTTTCTCTTTATCAGGATAATGGCTCTACTGGAGTTCACTTGGAAAAATAATCAAAATGAAGGCGTTTTAGAAATCGGTAAACATGTCTTTTATTTCCTCTAGTACTCAGTTTTGATGTTATTCAGGTGTATTGTAATTTTTATTTTTCTACGTATAGAACATCAAATGGAAAGAGTACCGTTATCAACGCGATGTTGGGTTCAAAATTGTTACCTTCTGGTTTGGGTCACACCACCAGTTGTTTCCTTGAAATCCAGGGAACGGATCAGGACTCAGGATATCTTCTAATGGCTGATTCTGATACCAACGCTAAAGAAACGTCAGATATTTCTCACCAGGTTTGATCAAATATTTAATTCGCATTTAAGAACTTTCGAATAGTTTCACAGTATTTGGGTGCCGAGTTCATGTGATACATTAACGTTTCGCCTGGCAATCTGGTCCAAGCTTTTTGAAGGAAATATAATGAGGCATCGAAATTATCGAATATAAATAGGTACATGGTTCTTTGGTTCACTGTATACTGAATATGTCATCCAATCAATGTTAACAATGTTTAAAGTACGTATTTACATTAGTGTGTATTATCTGAATAACAGCAATTGCATTTAACGGTTCTAATCAGTTGTCTTATCTGAATGTGTTAAACGATTAACTGGAACATTAAAATAACACAAACATTCAGTTACAATTACATTCTTCCTCTTTGGATTCATTCCTTTATCTTGTTTATTTATCCTCATTTTATGCATGCTGTGACGTTTTTGATTCATATCATTTATAAAAATTATCTGTTTTCTTAAAACTCACTGACCAGAGACAATATATAGCAAATGAAATTTCTTCTCACACCACTTACGTATACACACAATCTGTTATCTTAACACTTCGTTTCACATCACATGTCTCTTACATACTAATGCAAATACCTACTTTAAACATTGTTAACATTGATTGGATGACATATTCAGTATACAGTGAACCAAAGAACCATGTACCTATTTATATTCGATAATTTCGATGCCTGATTATATTTCCTTGAAAAAGCTTAGACCAGATTGCCAGGCGAAACGTTGGCTTTACTCCTAATTCATTCGCCGAGATTTTACAATTACATTCTTCCTCTTTAATCTAATTAGCACTTTTGAAAGATGACTTTTATTTTGTTGTTTTAATGGGAAGTCGATTACATTTTAGTGGATAGTCTGAAATATAAGTATTTTTTGTCTTAAAACTTGTTTTAATTTTGTGGGTGTACTAAAATTCTATATTCTGCCATTCATCTTACAACTTGTAGTTTTCAACTTGAGGTTTACTTTATTTCATCTGTTTCAGTGAGATAGGAATAGGTTGGAAGAAATTTAGGGTGGGCCATATCAAGGCGTTATCAGTCCATACAATCATTGACTGCTATTGACAGGTACAAGCTACATATTGAGTTCTTCGCGGCAACTCTAATCAGTGATCGAAGACGTTAATTGACATTGCAGAACCATGTACAGTAGCGCAGGTGCATTCATCGTTTATATTCTACCATTCTGGAAAAATAGGAGCATAGCACGATAATCCTAAAAAGATTTGTGTTCATTTACTTTTGTGGAACGTATAATTTTCCGAAATATCTGATTCATAACTTACTAATTAAATCTATTGCTAAGTCGACCCAATAATTAAAATAGTCCCAGTTGTACTGGCACAATCTCTTAATCAAGTTAATTTTTCTTTACTCAGGCTCGTCCTATTGATTCCGTTGGTCAGTTAGCCCATGCATTAAGCAGTGTCAAACTTTCCACAGATACACTACTAAAAATATTCTGGCCAAGTTCATATTGTAGGCTGTTACGTGAAGATGTTGTTCTACTAGATAGTCCAGGGATTAATGTTGATCCAGATATGGATAGATGGATTGATCTTCACTGTTTGGATGCGGATGTTTTCATTCTTGTTGCTAATGCTGAGTCAACATTAATGCAAGCTGTAAGTATTTCACATATTTTATTTTGATTGGTAATTTACTTATTTATTTGAACACATTGGTACAAAAGGGGCACCAAATACGTACGCACCACACAATAACAATGAGGTTGTAGAGATATAGAATGTAAAGAAAGGGGTAATTTTACCAAGATCAATACGGTTGTATATCTTTTAATGTACAAAAATGATGTGGTCATAGTGATATATATGTACTTGAAGGTTATTTAATTGTAAATTGACTATTATAAAGATTAGTATTAGTTTCACTATCGATAATTAAAAACGCACTGTGAATGTTACTTCTTTGAGTTATTTTTAAAGGACACTATAAATTCAGTTTGTTTTGTATTGCTAATCATTGTAATAAATTATTTAAAGCCAAAGATTATAGTAATCTAATAGTTAGAACATTAAACTTTTCAGCTGTTAGTTTGTAAATCTGAACTCCGTTCTAACCAATTTAATTCGATCATTCGGTTAGTGTCATTAACTTTTACACCGAAAGTGTATCTAAAGGTGGAGTATATGAACTTGCACCTTGCTAAATGAATCGTATTTTATTTGAATTTTTTGTGGAAAAGCTTTAATCTCCACTATTTGTTTCAAATATTTAAATAAGAGTGACCGGAATTCGTTTTTCCCTTCAGATAAAAGTTCTTCTTGTGTACTAAATTTTTCAGGAGAAAGATTTCTTCCATAAAGTCAGTCAGAAGTTATCCAAACCAAATATTTTTATCATTAATAATCGTTGGGATGCTTCAGCAAACGAAATTGAATATATTAATGAGGTATGTGCACATTTTTCTTGTTTTAGTTATATTCTAAACTTTCGAATACTTATTGTGAGTCCACTAAAAAGTGTTCAATTAAGCTTAGTCACAACAAGATCATTAAGGCCAACTCTTCTAAAGTTTTTTTTCAGGGAGAAGAGAGCTATGGTAGAAAGACAAATAATAATGACTATTTTCCTTTTATAAGACCTACGGTAACGTGATTGAAGTTTATAAACACCCCTTTACCAATCAAATTTTGTAATGGATCAACATCAATCAGTAGCTCAGTGAAAACCATGATTCGTGGAGAAGATGTTTTCTCCTTGTTCGAGACTCTTAAGAATTACATACGCGTTGGAACATGACCTCCAGGTCTGGCGATGCGCATACCATCTAGTCACTGAGTCTGATGTTTAATAGTTTAGATTTTCAACTTTCGTCTATTCGCGATATAATGCGACCATCTTTCAACTTCATCAAAGGATAAAGGCCGTATTCTTAGCGTGGTTGGAACCATAGACCATAACTCAGTAGCTAAATTCCCAACTTAGGTAAGGGTATCTATATGGTTTGAACCATCTTTTTACTCTATCACTTTCTCAGTATAATAAAAATATACATATGTAGATTCCACTTACATTATTTCGATTTTTCTACACTAACTATAATTTCCAAGAATATTACTTTCTAAATTATCATAATTTTTACTTAAATTATTTATCTTTTTAGGTACGTGAGCAACACCTGCAACGTTGTGTAGCGTTTCTTGTTGATGAATTAAAAGTGTGCACACGTACAGAGGCAGAGGGACATGTTTTCTTCGTTTCAGCCCGTGAAGTTCTAGCGATGAGAACAAAAGCGAATTTAGGTGGAGATCCACATTCAGGTCCCCCTGGGGCGGCTACAAGTATTGGGTCTCCTTTGTCAGCAGGTGGGCTACTGTCATTAGTGCTTTCTTATCAAGCTTATATTTATCTATTCGGCTTTGAGGAACGTTAGTGCTAAAAATATTACTCTTCTGGAATTGATGTTAATAAACTTGTCAGACACTTTTTTTCTGTACAGCCAGAGCACCATCCTATCCGACAGTTTGAAAACTACTTTATCACGGAAATTATAAATAGCTGGCTTGTAATGCATGTGATTGTGTTCAAACATTTCGGAAAGTATTAATAAATGACCAATAAATCCAGAAACTGAACAAAGACTTCCTTCTCTTGAGGACTCATTGTTTCATGAGTTCAACGATGATCCGTATTGCCGCGATGTGGTCTGTGCATGACCGATCCTCATGGGACCCGGTCTGTCGATCTGGATGTTTGGCGTCCATTGAATATTTCATCTGGTTAATCATCAGTCTGTTGAAAACGTTTGCTAGTACCGATAGTAATGTGATGCCTGTGTAGTTCTCACATTTGCTGAGATCTCCTTTCTCTGGTATCTTGGTGAGGTGTGCTTCTTCCCAGTCTGTTTGTGGTACTTGTTCTTCGCAGTTCTTTCTGGAGAGAATGTGGAGCATCTTTGCAGTCGACCTTGTGTTTAACTTCAATACTTCGTTTGGTATGTTGTCAGGTCGTGCTGCTTTCTCATTGTTTATTTGTCTGATGACTATCGTGATTTCTTCGCTCGTTGATGGAGTAATATCTACAGGGAGGTTAGTGTATGCTGCTTCGATGTCCGATAGATTCATTGCGACCGGTCTACTCACGAGTTCTTCAAAGTGGTCTGCCCACCTGTTCCCCTGTCCTTGGATCTCGGTGATTGGTTTGCCTTCTTTGTCCTTGACCGGCTTCTCTGGTTTACCATACTTCCTTACCAGTTTCTTCGTTGTATTATATATTTGTCTCAGATTTCCTTCTCCTTCAGCTTATTCCTCTATCATTGCTAGGTCTTCCACGCATTTCTACTTGTCGATTTCTCTCTTGGATCTCACGTCTTACATAGATCTTCTGAATTTTGTAGTGGTTCAAATATTTTTGATCTGGTTCTCTGTATTGTGATCCAGTGAGACACATGAAAATTTGTGTATGTGCTTGTGGGGGAATATGGGGTCATTTGTAGTCATTTTATTGAAGGCACATAAATCTGAAAATCTCTCGCCATTCTCGTTCCTTTCTCCCAGTTCTTATCATCAGTGCAACTCCCTGTGTGGGTGAAGCACCTTCTTTTTCATGATCAAAGTACAACAGTATTTCTGCCGAATCTACTCTATTCTATCTATCTTGGTTCCAATAGTTTTCACTCATTTCAAGCACTTCCAATTTGTTTCTCCTCAGTTCCGTAATTATTCGACTGGTCTTCATGGTCCCTCACATCTCCTGGTCATCCCGTTATCTCAGTATATATACTTATGAGTGGAAATCCCTTTGTGAATTATGAGCTTGTCATGGTGGTTCTGTGTATAATTAAAATCACTACTTATTACTTTAGAACAAACAAGACGTTAGCCAGCTCTTATGGATTTCTGATTCTAATAAAATTTGCATCAAAATATAACTTCAGTATGTTTCTCTTCACGTCCTATCGGGATCATTAACTGTCCATAATCGGATAAAACATCTGATTAATACTTCATCAAAGTTTAGAAGAATTCGACCAGTTGTTTGTATCGTTCTATCAGTTATAGTTTCTCTAATCTAAATGGATGATCTCTATATTTGGAATTTACAGCAAATAAATTTGGTTGTTTATTTTAAACTACCATATCGTTATTAGTTACTCTAATAATTTTGTGACATTACATTGGGATTTTTTAGTGGCCTATATGGCTGAGGGTTGGCAAGACAGACTCGTGGAGTTTACAAATTTCGAAACTGTTTTCGAGGTCAGTGGTGGTTAAATTTTATTTCTATTCCCTATTTATGCATTGAAGTAATCCATTTGTGACAGTTTTCCTGTTTTATGTTTTGTTGTATGTGATTTTCTGTTTTGTCCTCCATTACTGATGATCAATATGATTTCATTAAATGCACTAATCACTCGTTGTATATTGGGCCTTATAATCATGATACTGTTGTGATTCAGTGGATTTCAGACACTGAATTTTCAACTATAGGACTGGGATTTTCAACTACACTGTACTTATTTAGATTTAACAGCTAAGTAATTACTATACACCAAGTACAGCTCATAGCTTAGTTTTCTTACATGCTGTTAGATTCCTAGTTTTTTAAAAATTCTTTAAAGGGTTTACAGTACTTGGAACAGTGTCTTAATGGTCATAACATTCGACTTCAAAAGACTATGTTTCAGATTCTAACATCGCTTCATCTAATTCCTTTGAGAAAACTGACTGGTGTCAATCGAGTGCATTAACTTGTAGTCGTCACATAAGGTACCTTATTTCAGTTGGTCTAAATGTATTTAAATGAACTTTCTACGACCGTTTATTGTCGATATAGGATTGTTACTTTTATTGCTTTAAGTTTCTAAATCCCTTATCGTACTGGGTTAACTAGTTACATTTAAATTTATTTGATATATTTTTATGTTCCTATCTGTATGGGGAGATCCATTTGTAGTGAATTTTGCATATGCTACCATAAATAACTGTCTTGAAAATCATGCATTGGTGAATTTATCTATAGTACATATACCTCTATCGTTCAAAAAGAAGAAAAGTCAATTTTAAATGTAGGGTAATAGGTTCAATTTACTTTTGTACCACTCATGAGTAATCTCAGGACATTCTTCCCCTCGATAGACATCTTGGTGCACTTTTACTTAAATTTCACTTGAATTATACAAATCGAAGTCGAATAATGGTATTTGACAAGTTCCAGGTGAAGTCATCACCAACTTTTCAATGTAATTAATCAGTTGACAGAATGTAAACTATCGCAATATAAAAGAATACTAACAATCAAGGTATTAATGTTTTGAATTGATCATGTTAGAGACAGATTAGTATATTTATGTGTGTTGCGTTCAAATGCACTCAAATATAATTATAGTAATACTTGAGATTATTTTAAATATAATTTTCACATATAATGACTTGTAATTTATGACTTATTAAACTCCAGTATTACTTCTTGTGAATTTATTTTTCTTTTATATAGAAAAATCTCTCAGAGTCTGCTACTCGTACAAAATTTGCAGCTCATTCTGAACAAGGCAAAGATGTAGTGAATAGAGTTCGTACAATCATGGAAAATATCTATGAGACAACAGTTGAAGAAAAGTCAGTATTATTTTATTGTTAACATTTTGATTTGATTTTTGTTCGATATTTTATGTTGTTAGTGTTTATACTTGCGTATTTCTTTATTTCGGACTTTTTTCTACATTTATCCTCATTATGGGAAGGATTATTAACATTGATTATAGACTGTAAAAATTTATTGAATTCTGATCTATTTCATTCTTTTTATTTACTTTATCTAATTTTAAGTTTAGCATCGTTTATACAACATTTTCTCTATTTTGATCCTCATATTAATGAGTAGTTAAATATGTTATGCTTAGGCTACGTCTATCAACCCTATCAGTTTTCGATGGTTTAGTTTTTCACTGCTGTTGACACTATTTTCGTTTATTCACATTTTCTGTTATTATTTTCTCTTCGCTATAATAGTTTAACATGTGATAACTTGAATCGAAACACATTCGAGTCGAGTATTACGTTGTTTTCACCTGAACGTGATAATTTAGACTTCTTGGCAGTATTACTTTGCATTCAATCATACCTTTAGATCATCTCAAGTTATTTTATTTAGAATATTTTACGTGTTCTGACTTTCAGAAAGCTGTTTATTTTAACGAGTTAACTAGTCTTATGAGTATACTTTTATTGACAAAGTTATTTTTTATTTATAACCATGTTGGTTATCATATGTTTGTTGTTATAAATTTTAATTTTAATCACTTTTTTTTCTGTATTAGAGATGCTGCCGTTCGTTGTCGTCGTCTTTCTCAAGCACATCTTGAAGAGGTACGCGCCCGGTTGATGAAGACAACTCAAGCTGTAGATGAAATGCTTCATGCTAGTTTGGCACGTGTTGAAGCCCAAGTTGCTAGTGCATTAAATGCTGAAATTCGACGTTTGAGTGAACTTGTCGATAGTTATTCGCGTCCTTTCCATCCAGATCCAGCTTTGATTCACGTATACAAGCGAGAACTAAATACACATGTTGAACGTGAATTAGGCAGAAAACTTACTGAAGCTTGTTCTAGTGATATTCTTAATGAAGTTGCTCGATGTGAACAGTTAATGATGAGTAAGTTTTTTTTACAAATTTGAATGTTAATTAAGTGTAACAAGTTTTTTGAAACTTCCAACTACACTCATGTGTTAATAGTCGGGGGCTTCACACCATAATAGTAATTCATAGTGTCCACATTTTTTTGCAGTACCGTTTTTGAGTACTGCTAATCGACTTAAGAATTATTAAGCAAAAATTAAGTCTTTTCATTTTCATATGCGTATTTGTAAGTGTGATGAAATTAGTTGTTACTTTTGAAAAGTAACCTTCTTGTGTACACATTAGAGTTCTGATTGTGAATTATAATAGCTAAATAACTCACTAAATGTTCTTACTGTAAATGCCTCTAAATTTAGACTAAAAATTGTTAAGCACTTGATCTGTTAAGCTCTCATATAGCTGTTTGTTTACTGCTCTTTATTATTAAAGTCCAATATGATAAAATAATTGGTTTCTAAATATTTACGTAATTTATTCGCATATAAAAGTGGTAAAGTTGATCCAACATAGTCATTGTCAGAGTTGAAGATGTAGGGTAATACTCGTTTGTCCGGAAGGTTAAAAATTCTATCATTAAAATAAATAGTAATGTGAAGTACCAGGTTTTCACCACATTTGACAAAATTTCTATATTATGCATGATGTATAGTTTTCTGAATTGGCTTTTACTCTTTTTTTCGTTTCAGATAAACATGCGGCAATTGTTTCAGACGAAGCTTGTAAAAATCGTATACTTCAGCTAGTTGATCCTACTGCGTTTACTCCGGAATTCCATCTTGATTGTCGTAATTTGTGTGCGAATTTTCACGAAGATATTCAGTTTCGTTTTTCTCTTAGTTTGGGAACGCTGTTCCAACGGTTATCAGCCCCACGTCGTTCGACAAATAGTGTAAGTTTTCTGTCACCGTATAGCTATTTCGTTAATTGAAAAAACGGAATTTTTTGGTCGTTATATGTAATGTAAAGCGTGGTGACTTCCTAGTTGAAGCATTTAACTTTTAACCACATCTTCCATTATCATGTCAACTATTTGATTTCAAACAGCTAAACAGAATCATTGGCCCTTAAACAAAATGTGTAATTTAGGAAATGTTCTTGTTTGTTGAGACGCGGTACTCTTCAACACTAACAAATTAATTAGATTGTTTTTAAGGGTGCTAATAAGTCGAAGACTTCTTTCTGGACTAAAACTTTCACTTACTATCACTTCCAGTTTATTTTAACAAATGGTTGCACTTGTACACCGTCCTTTTTTCCTGTTCAACTTTTTTGAAAGACAAGGTATCAGTTAACTAAGTAAACGGTTTATAGATATTTCTTTTGAAGAATATACGAATTCAGAATTGTTTTATATGCATAATTTTGATAATTTAATCTGTCTTTATTAATTCATCAGTATTTTTTCGAAAGTCTTCTAACAGAGACATATTGAATAATGTCCTGAAATTTTAATGGGGATTTAATTCGATAATGGTAAAAGAAAAAGAATCTGAGGGTTCTTTTTTTAAGAATTTGTTATAACATTCAGTTTTCCTCGTCTACACAAATTGGACGCTAATTTGTCTTAGACGAGTATCTACACTAGATATCCTCCCAGTGTCTATTCTACAGGACTACAACACAACTCAGATCAGGAACACATGACTATTTTAACTAGAACGTAAGTTTATTTCCATTGTAAAAACGGACAACAATCCAATGATATCACTTGGTCGCCATTTATCGAATATCCGTCTTTTAAGTCTCATATCTAGCATATTGTTATCTATTATTGATAAAGTGCCCATGTTAATCTGAATAATATCAATCTTTTGGTCATATTTTAAAGGATTGGTGTACTTATTGACAAGTGATTTTGAAATTAAAAAAGCTTGTATCACAGAATGTAACTCGGTATCATGAGTTGTACTGTAGTGTATACTACTTATACTGACAAATATAAGTAGTGTGTAGCATCAAACGGAAGTGAGATGTCTGCCAGAAGATTGAATTAAAGAGAACAGGAAGTTAAACAGAGAGCGATTGTAATAACAACCGGATTGAAAGAATGAAGAAGTATGTACAGGACAACTGAGGGAAGATGTGCAAATAGTGTATTTAATATATGATTTTTAGATTTTACGAAAGCATTGTATAATTTTGCATAAAACAATATATTGGTTTTCCTCATTTGAGTTCTCATTCACTACAGTACTATGTCAGTCTATAGGCGTGGTTATAAATCTAGATAATACTGAAAGTAATTAGTATTTCGCTTAATTAATCAAAGAATTACGTTATTTAATGATAAATATTTAGAATTTTCCATGTTTTACGATCATGTTTAAATGTTTTATCTCAATTCAATATGTTTACGTTTTAAATGATCTCGTATTAGCAAAATAGCAATTATATGTAAACGTGTTTGGTTGTTTAACGTATAATCAATTAGTCGATGTTTCTTATTCATCTTACCTTCAGTATCATTGGACACAATCTGATGGAATTCCTTCTAGTTTGGTTAACTCTTCCATATTACCCAGATCTTCGTTGACTGTTGATTTATTCCCTTCTCTTATGAGCCGAAGTGCTGTCGGTACTGTTATTGTTTTTGGAATTGTAAGTTTTAATTCATTTGACATTGTGTTATATTTACGGTGTTTTATGAATAAAAAGAAATAATAAGTTTTAAGAACTCACTCAATGTTCTCTAGTTGTATATATTTTCAAATTTAATGCATAGTCTCAATAGATTTCACTACTTGTTTCATATTTCTTTTTCTGGCTATCATTATTTATATATAAGTGGTATGATATATGAATAAATCGTCCATCCACTATTTTCACCATAGCTTCTTCCTTGATAAATTTTGAGCAAATTGTTCAAGATGGTAGAGATTTTATTTAAGATCTAAATCTCTCGTGCTCACCTTTTAAAATTACTTGTTTGTCATTGCAAACGTCAATCAGAAAGAATTTATTTTTTTATGGCTTGTGATAAACATCTTTTGATATTTACATATTCATAATTGCTATTGAAGTTGCCGGTAAGGAGCTTATCAACCTGTGTTTTGTTAAATTACTCTTTTATAAGATTATTTAGAAATTATAAATTGAGAATTTCATTTTAATACTTCGAATTCGTCTCGTTCTGTGGCAACAAAGGTGTAATTTCTTTTGTTCCAAATAGTCAATGTGTCTGGATAGGGTATGAAAACGCGGCTTGTTTAGCACAGCAATACAAACATTTATTTGTTCATTTCTTCTCCTTGTTTGGGTGGTATGACAAATTTGATTTACAGCATCTATTAGATTGTCCAATTTCATCAACGACCATAATGTGAGGTCATGTATAGTCGACCAGTTTTTCCAGCATCAGATCTACGTACATACGCCTGTTATCTTGCCACAGTTTCTCCACTTTTTCACTCCAAATGTCTCTTATTTTCAACTTTGATAACATGATTGGATGATTTGTTTAGTACATGGTCCATTTGTAAACCATATATTTGTATCCAATCATTTTAATGATTTTCTTTGCAAAAGCTTGAACTAGATTGCCAAGGGAAACGTTGAGATTTTTATAAGTCTAATATTCTCATTGTTATATACTAACTCGACTCAAAACTACTGTGGAACTATTTGTTCAAATTTAAATGGTTATTCTTGTAAATGTTCGTAATTCCGTTTGAAAGTGAAGTGACTTTTATAAGTTTTGTGAAAATCGATTTTATTAGATTGCAATACTTTTTTCATATTGTCCTAAGTACTTTGCTTTCTAAAGTTCTTAGTGTAATGGTAGGTTTCTGTTCATTCATTTCTTCAAAAAACGTTTTTGAATCAAGCATTACTTTTTTTGTTGATAAAAAACCCAACCATACTAGATGTCGAAAGCTGTTGGTTGGCGAGTTCTAGCAGTGGCTTGTGGAATATACGGTGGTTTATATCTATACGAACGACTTTCTTGGACAAATAAAGCTAAAGAGGCTGCTTTCAAACGTCAATATGTCGATTTCGCTTCCCATAAATTACGTTTAATTGTTGATTTAACTAGTACAAATGCTCGGCATCAAGTAAGTTTTGTGATATAGTTTTAAAAAATTCTTTGGTTTGTTCACTGAATAATTTTAAGTGTAAAAAATAATTTGATAATAGCGATAACATCTACTTTGTTTTGATATACTTGATATAAATGTATAGAACTTTAATAGTTGTCGGCAGATTTGGAGTAGTTTTAATTTTTGAAAATCTAAATTTTAAGAAATTCTTCCACTTGCTGATCTGTGTACTTAAAACTGAACAACATATTGCTCAGTTTTTTTTCCAGTTGCTTTATCAATATTCCTATTTATTCATCCTAATACATATATCACTATACACTTTTATTCTTGGAATTACTTAAAATAACTTGTTATGACTATGTTATTATTATTGGGGTTTAAAGTGTTATTCTCTTGTGGTTGGTTAAATAATTAAATTACTCAGTCAGTTTTCAATTATTTAACTGTAAATTTGAACTCTGTTCTGTGTAATTTGGTTTAAGTAGTCAGATATAATTAATAGCCTTGATACAAATGTATAGTTAAATCCCAAAAGAGGTTTTTAGTATTAATCCGCTTTTAGATTTGTTTGTAAATATGTGTTTGACATGTTTTATTTATTTTCTTAGGCTAAAAGAGAGTTACATCTAGCTCATAAAAAGTTGTCCACAGAAGTGGAGAATTTCAGTGATACTTTAGTTGAAGAAGTGAAACAATTGGATAGTGATATTAACCGTCTGGATTTCATTACTACAGAAGCAAGGAAACTTAAGTGAGTAATTTAATTACATTGGATTTTAAGCTGTTGAATGTATGGATCTTACACTATAGATATGTTAGTGTGAACATGGAACTCTTTGTTTTATATCCTTATGTATTATTCTATTTGCTGTGCTAATAGTGCAAAACATTATCTGTTTCCAAAAAAATCCTCCCTACAATTAGCCTAAATTACTTGTCACTTCTTTTGAATTCGTTCATAATTTTAGTTTTAAGTATAAGGAATATATGGAATATATCAAATAAGGGATGTATTTATAATAACAATAACAATATTTTATGAAAATAAGTACAGAATGTACGTCAGTTTACCACGTTGATCAATTTGATGCAAATTACTTGGTTATAATAACAATAATAATACATTTAAGGTTACGGCGTCTGAAAGAATGTGATTTCCATGTAACTTCAAAATGAGAATTTCGAATAAAATGATCAAAGTTATAGATGGTGTACAATTCTGATTGAAATGATTTTACAGCACAATATTAGTGATTATTCACACTCCATAGAAAAAATAAATGACAACAATTAAATAAGGTGAACATCGAACTAGTTTACTGAAGCGTAATAGATAATTAAAGCATCTATGTGTACCTACATCTTCATGTTATCATGATTAAACTGTCATAAAAAAAAACAGCGATATTTCGTATGTGGCCATTTTTTAATAGGGAGAGTCACTTATTTAAACTGTTCACATTTCTCCTAAATCTCACATTGGAAATATTTATATTCTTTTAAAGGTAAAACTCTTTTATTTAGATGTATTCCCCGTTGTTATACTTTCGTATAGAAAATAATAAATTTTATTCAACTGTTAACTATTTGTCAATTAATTTTCTTCAATTTTTGCTTTACAGAAATCGTGCTAATAACTTGGGGAATATTTTGAATAAATTTCATGAAACATTTATTTTAAATCCATGGGATGAATCTAATTAGAAGAATTCAATTTATTCTTTTGGTGTTTTCTTTCCTTTTTTTGGAAGAAGAAATGTTCATCTATGTTTTAATTCATCCATTGATAACCATCTTTGAGCAATATATATATATATATATATATATATATATATATATATATATATATATATATATATATATAGTTCAGTTTACAAAATGAAAAACATGACGCAAAAAACAAAATCTCGAATTGAAATATCTTCAAAAATCGTTCTAGTAATATTATTAGTTAGTAACAGAAGCAGTAGTATGGTGATAATTCATTGGTTACAAAATCATATTCCTCAAACAATTTAATTTCCCCATCTAAACGACAATAGTTTTATTTAGGAACTTGTATTGTATATTATGTATAGTATTAATATGTCATTTAATTGTCGACATCATCAACTACATTCTACTTAGTCGATAGATGAGCGCTTATTATTATTATTATTACTATTATTATTGGTTCATAAATAACTCTTTTTTAGGGTTAACATATTCATAATTGAGTGTATGTACAACATAAGATATAATTCATATGAATTTTTAAAATTGAACATACATTGTTAAACAGTATAAATTTTTTTTTCATGGTTAACACTTTCATCACCTTATTCGTTGGTATTATAAGTTTATATTATGTTTCAGTAGATCGTTCATATTTCTGGTTTACGCATAATTATCAAATTTATTTTGTATTGTTTGTTTGAATCTTCTCATTGATGTTTAGGACTGCAATTGATCAGTCTCTTATTGGCATATGTGCATCCTGTACTGATTGCCTGGATATTGCCTTCATTCAAAAGCATTATAAGCAAAAATGGTTGGTGGCTAGCAGTGGAATTCAGGACGCGCGTTTCGTCCTATTTGGGACTCGTATGCTGGATGTACCTGATCAATAGAGGTCCTAAACGTCGATGGGAAGATTCAAACAAACAATACAATGAATTTAAAACTCCACCCCATTTCACAAGCAAGTGGTTATCAGGACTTAGTAGCTAAGTGGATAAAGCTATAGCGTTTGAAGCGAACAGTGCTGAGTTCGGGTCCCGGAATGAACATCAACTCTGGGATGCAGATACATCCAGCTGACGAGTCCCAAATAGGACGAAACGCGCGTCTTGAATTCCACTGTTAGCCACCTATCATATTTGCACATAATTAATTGTTTACAAATTTTCATCATATTAATAAAACATGGGTCATATAGACAAAGAATATTTTTTCAACAAATTCTCGTCAGGTTCTATCGCTACAAAGTCAAATTCCTAAACCAAATGTGAGATAACCCATCGTTTACGATTAAGTTATATAAATGTACGATCGTAAAAATAAAATCAGATTTAACATTGAAATTATTAGTATTCAATGTTCACTTGAATTACATTATATGTTAAATGAAATCATGAAATGATTGATAATGAAGAATAAATTTAGATAAAACAAAATAAGGGAATAATGTAATTATTAATCAAACCAAATGATTAGTTAACGACTGGGTAGTGCATAAGGTGATATGAATTCAGTACGAGATATTGAAATAGGTTGATAGTTAATTAGATTCTTGACGTTTACAAGGATAGTAATAATGATACGAAACATGTGAATTATAATAATAATATTTGAATAAGATGAATGTAGGTTATGAAATTACATAGGGTAAGGCTATGTGTCCATTAGTCAAGTGAGGTCATCCTATAATTAAGATGATGACTGACTTATCAGGTCTGAAGTTTCCCTAGGCAAAATAAGGGGCTGAACATATTTCCTTTTTTGGTTCAAATAGCTATTGCTTCTGCTTCCAACGAAGAAATACAAATAAGCCATTAATATGTTTCTAAAAGACGACAATTTATTGATTAAGTAGCTATATAAAGGATCGAGAGTTCTCGAAAAAATGAGTGACATCACGAACGAAATCTTAGAAACTAGCTGACAAGACAGATCTAATTAGTGAGATAGATGATGATCTTAGCCGATCATTAATGACTCTCAGGTCAACAGAGAACTCCATAGAATTTTCAACTGTTTCAGCCGAAGGTGGATAATGCGCTGCTCCTTTGTTAACATTGTATGGCGCAACTTGTTTGGTTAAAGAGGTTCTTACCCAGTCTAGAACCTAAAAGTCGACGTACTGCGTCTCTATCCATTTATTCATAGCTTTCACCGCTGAACGCGATGGATTTGGTAAATAAATATTACGTTAACGGGAATTTCAATACCTTCGGCAGTAATCATTACATTTTGTTACAATTTTCTGAAATATTTACTCATATATTATGTAATTTTAAGCTTTTTATCTGTTGGTATCTTGTTTGCTCAATTATCTAGCTTCATACGTGTCTAATATTAAATTCGACAATTGGCTGTTTCGTAATTCGATAAACTTGCAAAAATATTTCTAAAATGTTCCCATAAGATTTTCATTAGTTTTGTTTTAAAATGAAATACATCATTTAATATGTATACATGCACAACAGATTAACACGACGTTTTTATACACCAACCCGCATTATGCTTGTGTATAGTATGCCGATATCATAACATCTGACACTTCGTAAAATTCATGCATATTTTTTATCTCAGTAGTTTCTGTTTATTCTGTCCGATTAACCACTTTTTTGAACACTGATCTGTATCTATATTCTTTATCCATAGTTTGAAATTTCCTATTTCTATATATAATAATGAACCAAAATAATATAAGACTTTTGAGCTTGAAACTTTGTTGAGAAAAACACAACCATATTAGATGACTAGAGCTGTTGGTTGGCGAGTTCTAGCAGTGGCTTGTGGAATATGCGGTGGTTTGTAACTATACAAACGAATAAACCAAAATAATATACAACTTTTGAGCTCGAAACTTTTAAATGATTAGTGTACACGAAAGAATTTTATAAAATTAGAAATGTACGTGCAAGTTAATGTGGGCACATAGGGCAAAAGAAAATAATATAATATTATAAAACTTTTAAAAGCTATATGTTTATATGTATATGATGTACAGTAGTTTAAAGATCGACGTTCTAGCTCATTGATGTTTCCAATAGGCGTAGTAGTATGTTGATGTACTTCAGAACTTTGGAACACCATAAAAGTTTGTGCTCATCGTCATGTATCACCATTTATTCGAGATCATCCAGATCTCTAACTAGTTTGATTGATGCCCGAATAGCAGTGTGAAATCTTATACAGTTTGTCGAGGATGTCTTCGTAACGTTGATAGGACAAATTATCTTAGTCGGCTGGTATAGTCACCACGTATTATATTTGTCGTGTCTGTGAGCAGTAGTTTTTCTAATCCCAACAAGGTATGACCATTAGTCAATCAACTCTGCACTTCATAATTATCTTATTGCAATAATTCTATCATCTGTAAATTGGAATCATTACACTGGGATGTATGCATACTTGTTCGTGATAATGCATTAGCCACTGTGTTCTTATTACCTTCGCATGTTGGACGCGAATTGCGGGATAAACTCTAGATACCGGATCTCTGTGAATAATTGTCATATTTGATATCTAACGATTTTGTAAATGTTTTATAATCAATGTATACTATGAAGCTGTTTTGTTCAAGCGTGTATCTAGAGTGCTTTATTGTTAGATATATATCTAATAATTCCCAGCCAAAAGTACTACGTCTCGGTTGAGTCAGACTCAGTCATTTAGGAAAGAAAGACAGAGGTTCCTATTTTTCATTAACCGACTGTTAGAAAACGGCTAATATGACCACATTCGATGCTTCTGTCATTATAGCTAGTATTGACTTGTTTTTTCGAGCCAATCTTTCCGTTTAGTAGGTTTTTGGCGTGCTCAAATGCCTGTGTGACTTTGGTCAAGAAATGGGAATTATGCATATATCCTCGCAATATATCTGTTAGTGGCTGAGATGGAGCAACACAGATTGGAATGAATCACCCATATAAATTTACCAATCTCAAAAGTTGATTTTAAATCGGATGAGATAGGTGTCGTACCCATTTTATAAGCTAGGAAATACAACTATTTCTTATCACACACTTCTCAGGGTTTATAACCACTCCATATTTCGTTAGTTTTGCGAATATTTGTCTGAGGTACGGTAGTTGTTTTTCTCCCGACGTACTTGCAACTACCAGATTGTCAATATAAATATACACAAATGGTACGTCTCAGGTTATCTGGTCGATGCCATTGAAATGTTTGGCCATTACCCGTTAATTCAAATGGCAAGCTTAAAAATTTGTACAACCCAAAAGGCGTTGTAACGGTTGTTTTCTATACATTAACTGGAGGCACTGGGATGTGATGGTGTGTACGTACCAAATCAGTCTTCGAGAATATTACTGCACCGTATATACTGTTATTAAATCCGTGGATACACGGTCTGGGTACCGATCTGCGAGAGTTTGTTTATTCAGGGCCTAACAGTCGCCAAGCGGTTAGATTGCTTCCTTCTTAGTTAACATAGACAACGGAGATTGCTGGGTTGCTAGACAGTCGAATGATGCCTTTATTCATTGATCTATCAAAATCACTTTCCTCTATTTCCAGTTTTGCTGGGTCTAACCTCGTTTGGTGATACTTTCATCATGATGTCGTGCTGTACCTCATGTTTAGAATGTTTGCTTCTTCATGACACTATCGTCAAGTCGGAAAATTCTGTTAGCGATAGAGAGTGTGGATTAGAAGACACTTAGAACATTACCGAGTTCGTCGGTGACGAGTCTGTACTGACCCCTCTAATCGTTTTCAAATGACCACTGTTTAAAAGCTTATGTTGTTTTGGATCGACCAATAAATTAAGCGTTTGCAGGAAATCTATACTAATTTTGGATACGGACATGTCTGCCGCTGCAAATTCTGACTAAACGACGGGTCAAAGTTCATTAATTTTCGTATCCTATGCATTTTTATAACAAACGTATTTGATTCTCTGAATACTAACGTGATATCAATGTTTCTCTTCTCTCCATCTACGGTGGCACGAAATTGATCTCCACTCTGATGTC